TGATCTGGAGAAAAAATACTCTAATCAGGTTCCCACTTGCATGTGGCAAACCATGCATAAGAGTTCTCCACAGAGTTTCCTAAAAGATAAGACCTGAATTTCATGTAGACAGGCAAAGAAAAAAATCTTTTGTAATAGTCCTTTGCACCTTCTATATAGAAGAAAAAAGAATGGTAGCAAAATGTTTTAGCTATAAGTTTAGCATTTCTTGACCCAAGATCTATCTCCACAGGTGTTGCATAAGTGGCAGAAAGTTACCAAAACCCATTGAAAGTGGAAGATCCAGCTACAAAACCTCCACTGTGGGTCCTCATGCTGTAGAAGAAAAATATTGCTGAGGCTCTGGAGAAGCAATATTTGAAGCAGAAATGGGTTTCCAGAAGTGTTTCAGAAAGCTGCAACAGACTTCTAAATATGGCTGCAAGTGTCAGAGGTCATGACTTTCCAGGACCTCTGTGACTTCTGCAGCAGCCAGTGTGGCTGGCCCAGGGGCTGCATGAACAGCTCAGACTCTCTCTCAAAGTGGGTGACAGGAGAGTGATCACATGAAGAATACCAGTTGTGATCCCTCCCTCAGGGGCCATCTAGTATTGACACCTACACCCTGTCCAGACATGCTGCTCCTGCACCCTCCCTCCTGCCCAGAGCCCACACCTCTTTCCTTCACCCCACATCCTGCTCAGATCCCACACCTCCACCCCAGCTTGTTTCTGCACTGCACATGCCACCCAGAGCGCACACCTCACCTCATTCCTACACTACCTCCAGCCCACTCCTGAATCCCACCCCAGCCTGCTCTGACAGTTCCCTTCCACATACTGAAACCTCCTCATTTTGGCCCTGCCCCAGAGCCTAATAGTTGCCCCACAAAATCTACTAGCCTAAGCCCATAGAAGAATTATCCTTGGGGCTGGATTAAGTTCTGAGCCTTGGCACCTCCTGCCCGACTTCACCAGGGCTGGAGCTTGAGGAGAATGAAGTGAGCATCTTTTTTCTTTCTTTCAAATATCTGCATGTCTAATCACTTTAGATTAGATTTTAAACTCTCTGGAGCAGGGATGGTGCCTTTTAACCTTTTTAATGGTGGTTTACAAAGTACATGTACACTGAAGGCCTGGTATTCAACTAAACATGCAATCAAATGGAAAGATCTATGTACAACATCTCATTATATTAGCCATCATAACAAACTTAGGTTTGCACAAGCTGAATGGTAGAAAGTACCTACCTAAGAGTCCCATTTTCTCCTTTGTCTAGGCTGGTGAACCGGCTGTAGAGACGAGTTATCTGACTGTGGGAAACTGGGGAGGAGGGGGAAGGAAAAAGAGAAATAAATTAGACAAGTTAGTTTAACATTAACCCTGTACACAAATCAGTTAGTTACCCTGAAGAAGTCATCTTCAAACAGACAGAAAACACAGAAGCACTAGCAAACTTGTCAGCAGTCTGAGCAGCACTGCCTCTTTCCACCTCCCTTAATAGCAAGGACTAAATCTGGGGTTTTCCCATGAAATTGAGGTAGAGGCCAATGCTGTACATCAGTAAGTGGGAGCAATTAGGCTGCAGTCTTTAACAATTGTACATCAGTAAGTGGGAGCAATTAGGCTGCGGTCTTTAACAATATCAGAGACATTTTCAACCCCTGCAAACATTTTCAAGGCTAAATATTTAGTGACAGCCAAATTCAATCCCAATGTGCATCTCCCCACCACTAAGCTATCGGAATCCACAATCAAAAAGCTTTCAGGTCCCAAAAGTGAATTCTATATGTTGCATCAACCACTCCCCAAAGGCTCCCTTAAGTTTGAAGCAACAGCATTCTTCAGCATTTTTATAAAATTAAACTGAAAGCAAACTACGTGTCTAAACTGTATCAAATTCAGGTTTTACATCCACAAAATATGAACGTCCTTTAATTGTGTTTTCTGCACTGCCAAACTAACAAACCAAAGCTCATATCTTTCCATGCTTCTGATGAGAACACATTTGCTTAAAGGGAGGATAGTTCCTCTAGAAAAGCTACTAAGCACGAAAGGGAAAAGGCAGCAAAGAATGCACATACTTGCCTCCTCCCACAAAAGTCTACCTTAATGTGAATGCAACTTGTTCCCTCTATTTCCTGCTGTACTTGTTTCTATCTGTAAGACCCATTTAAATTAAATAAAAAAGACACTAGGTAAAGGAGCTCAGTTCAGTGAGTAGAGCAATAACACTTTCAGCTCAGAAAGTTCAAGGAAGCCCATATGCAGACACAAAACTATCATTACATACTCAAGTCTATAGTTAGTGGTAGAAATGCCAAACGCAAAACCAACTATTCAAATCAGCCCAGGCACTGGAAGCAACAATTGATGTGACACTGCCAGAGATAATGCCTCTAACACCGTGGTTCCCAACACAGTGCCCATGGGTGCCATGGCACCCACAGGGGCATTTATGTGCGCCCACGCCGGCGTTTTAAAACTACTCACATTCGCCCCTGCTTAGAGCAGGGTCAGCAGCCTGGGGCCCACAACGCAGCACTTTGGAGGCGTGAGCCTCACCCCCACTGCAGCAGGCAGCCCACGCAGGCACTTCAGTAGCCGGAGCAAACCCCACACTGGTCATGTCCGGCTGTGAGGCAGCAACAACCCCCCTCCTTCCCCCCCCACGCAAAACAGCTATGGTGGGGCCCTTTGTGGTGCAGGAGCTGCGAGCCAGCAGGGGAGGGGCCCTCATGGCCACTTGGAGGCGTGAGCCTCACCCCCACTGCAGCAGGCAGCCCACGCAGGCACTTCAGTAGCCGGAGCAAACCCCACACTGGTCATGTCCGGCTGTGAGGCAGCAACAACCCCCCTCCTTCCCCCCCCACGCAAAACAGCTATGGTGGGGCCCTTTGTGGTGCAGGAGCTGCGAGCCAGCAGGGGAGGGGCCCTCATGGCCACTCCGCACAAGCCCATGACCGGACCTGGACAATGACAGCTGCGGGAACCTACCAATCCCCAAGCACATGACCAGGCAGGTCCTGTGGGAGAAACAGGAGAGCAGCGCGTCTCACTGGTAAGTGTCCAGCCCCCCAGCTACTCCCACTCTGATATCTTCACCCATAGAACTCTTCTCCCAGACCCTGCACCCCAATCCCCTGCCCTGAGGCACAATCCATACCCCTGGCCTGACCATTCCTCCCCCCCGCCCCAGTAAAATGTCTGGTATTTTCAGTTTCTCAGCTGAAAAGCCACTTGGGACATTCTTCCCCTGCCATGTGGAAAGGAGTGTGAAATATAAAGGTGCCAGAATTTTTTTGTGTGGGGGATCTCACTGGTAAGTGTCCAGCCCCCCAGCTACTCCCACTCTGATATCTTCACCCATAGAACTCTTCTCCCAGACCCTGCACCCCAATCCCCTGCCCTGAGGCACAATCCATACCCCTGGCCTGACCATTCCTCCCCCCCGCCCCAGTAAAATGTCTGGTATTTTCAGTTTCTCAGCTGAAAAGCCACTTGGGACATTCTTCCCCTGCCATGTGGAAAGGAGTGTGAAATATAAAGGTGCCAGAATTTTTTTGTGTGGGGGAAGAGTGCTTTTTTTGCTCAACATTTGGACATCCACCCCCCTTTTTATTAATGCAGAATTTTGTTTAAAAATTATAATATAATTAAAATAAAAAATATCCAATTAAATTAAGTTTCTATCAAATTTACCCAATTCACATTTAATATGAAAATAGCCTTCAATTTCACATTTTATGCCTTTTTTGTTGGCATCCACCACACTCTTCCGAAAACATTAATGTGCTATTGGCCACAAACAGGTTGGGGACCTTGAAAGTAGGAATAAGAGATCCTCCGGAAAAGAGCTTTATTCCGGAGGATCGCGCCAGTCTAGACGCTCTTTTCCGGCTTTTCCCCAAGCCGGAAAAAAAGTGGCGGCCATGTTTATTTAAATCCCCCGCGGATTTCCCTATTCCAAAGTTCGAAATTAGCATGCCTCTTCTGGAGAAGGGGCCAGTGTAGACGTAGCCTACCTGATAAGCACAAGCTTATCACAGGGGAGGTAAACCTCAGACCCAGGGGCTGGATTCAACCCAAGGCACACAGGTCCCCTCGTAACATTAGCCTGGGCCCACTAGGCTCTGGTATGTGTGGGGAGCATCTCAGTCAGGGGCCACATTGGTGAGGGTTTGGCTTCTTGTGCTTCTCACTTTATGACCCCAAAAAATTCCTACTGGAGACCACCCAGGGTTATACTAGTATGGATTTTTTGAGTGAGGAATTAACACTCCCCTACAAGGTTAAACTGGATCAGTGCTGCCACTAAAGGTTTAAACTAAAGAGGCGCACACACACAGACACACAGACACACAGACACGTTGCAGAAGGAACCAAGGCATGTAGATTCTGGAGGGTCTGTCTGCAGATCATGGCTGAGGAGCTGGTCAGGAAAGACACCGGCTGCAGAAAGAGCAGCTTCTCACAGAGCTACTGCCACATGTTCTCCCCTTTTATTGCCTCTATACAACTCCTGTGACTCATCCACATTCGTCACCAAGGAGCATGCCCAGACTTCCCTTGATCCAGCACAGCAGCAAAGTCTCATTCATTGGTCTGATGACTCATTACCTGATTCCATGTGCTCAGCCTTGCAGTTTCTAATCCCGAACACACAAGTCTCCACTCACATTCATATCTCAGGGGAGAATGGAGTTTAGAGCAAGTTACAAACAAAGTGGCTGAGAGTTACAAATATTACAAAGTTGCAAAGCTCAATCACCAAGCTTGCAGTAAATTTCTGAGCTTATAAAGCAAAGTTGCTGAGAGTTAGAAAGTTGCAAGGTTTTACAAAGATTACAAGTTGCAGAGTTTAAAAGGCAATGCAGCTGAAACAATTACAAAGCTTCAGAGAATCATTTACAAATCAGTAATGAAGTGACTTACAAGACAACTGCACACACACACTCCCCTCCCCCCCATCCACAGACACAGAGCAATGCATTATCAGGAGGTTTTTGTCAGTCTCTAAGTCATATGTTGGCAGGACCTTACAGTTTAGTGTATTTCCCAGAAAATACATGTGTAAAATCAAGTAATTGCTCGAGTGAAGGCTTTTATGCAATGCACTTGTGTGCAGCCCCCAACAGATTTTTCCATGGGTCAGTGGCCCCTGATGCAAAGAAGGTTCCCCACCCCTGGCTTTGTTTTTGGGCAGTGGACTGGAGTATCCACTACTCACTTCCTACACCCCTCCCCTGCTGCCTCAAGAAGTAGCAAGTGGCAGGGGGAGGACACAAGCCAGTGCTGGGGAAGAGGGGGGAGAGCCACCTTAAAAACTGGTTCCACCCAGCACTAGCTCTGCTGGCTGCATCTATCCGAGGCAACAGGGGAGAAGGGGAGGGGACGATAAGAAGGCGGCCTGCGGCAGGCTAAAGCTCACTGTGAGCAGAAACTACTCCAGCAGTAGCCCCAGTCACCGGAAACAGGGGCTGCTGGACTCCATGCTAACTGGGACTCAGCAGTCCCTTCTTTTCATGGTCCAGGACACTGCACCTCTGCATTTTAAATGTACTAAAAGCCCTGCGGTTCTTACTACATTTAAATACAGAGCTGCAGCATGAGTGGCTCAGTCCCAGCTCAAGCTGGCTCCCAGAGCTGCCTCCACTGTGGCTCTGCAGAGCAGTCCTTATCGACTAATTGTGTAATCAATACAAATAGTACCAACTACACGATTTGTCATGTAACTGCAATTTAATATCCGTAATGCCAATCTGACTGTTGTGCAAGACCAGGCTCACTTGGTACCACACCAACTCTGTTTCAACACCTGATAAATAGGGTTTTTATTAGTTGCAAAGGTTTATCCCTATCTGAATAGGTTGCACAAGTGTTAAGTCTTTAGTGACTGGGACACTAACTGAACTCTTATTAGGCTTTCCTCCCCCCCCCC